ATGTTTTGCGCTAGCCGCGTGCACTTGGCAATGAGTGGTACACGGCTCATCTAATTTTGATTCATTTTGACAAAGATGTGTTCTTCATGTTTGCTGAAGCTCTGGGTCCAATTGGGGGGGCACCGCAAAAAGTTTTCCATTGCAACGCGTTGGAACGGTTTTTTTTCTTGAAGTGCTCTAAGTACAGGAAGATTTGAGGAAAGAATTCTTGAATCCCACCCCAGGATTCAAGAATTTGTTCTGAAATCTTGAATGTTGAATCCCATTGCAATGCGTTGCGACGGGATTCAGTCACCAGATGCTCTAAGTACTTTTGTGTCAGTGTGGCACAATATTTGTGTGGATGTATGTGCATGTTATATGTATACATATGGCACATATGGTATCCGCCAAATTTGAAATGATGAAACCGCTATCCCTTTACCATGTATAGTATAGTTGAAAGTTTGACTACACTCTATCATTGTATGACATGATTACATATGTGGGGATGCCAGGCTCTTCTAAAGGGTGGCCCCTGGATCCAGAAACTGTTTTGGCAATTGCCACACGTTGCCAGTAGAGAGCTACAATTGGTCTGACATTGACATGGGTCAACTTGCCACTAAGATGCCGCCTCCAAACCGACAATGGGTGTTTCGGCCTCGGGAGCGCAGAGAGAGAGAGAGAGAGAGACACTGAAAGAAGGAAGGAAAGAATGACAGAAAGATATGAAGACGGAAAAATGCATAAGGCTTCTCCAGTGGCGTCTCCTTAAATTTGTCAAGTCGTTCGTTATTTTGCGAGGAATCGTAGAATCTTCAATTTGTGGTGGTTGCTATGTTTTTGGCGCTCAACTCTGGATGCAGTGGCTAGATACAGCAGTCATTTCAGAGATCACTTCGTAGCAGTTGAGCCATTTTGTGTCATAAAGAGTGCTGCATGTACTTGTCGCGTTTTGAGCTTCAAGCCTGCCACAAAACTTCAAATGTTCACTTCGAATTAAGTTTCAAGACTTTGCGCTCGCCACTGGAGCTGAGGCCATCCAGGGCAGGTTCTCAAGCTCCGTTTGGGTTCCTCAGTCATCACCAAACGACACCCCTGACTCTAGATTGTTTTTTTGGCCGCCACTTACAACAAAATTGACCCAATTGATGGTGTGAACATACAGTGTGTGTATATATATATACACACACATATGCGTGTTGGAGGCTTTGAGGCCATTTCTACAGCTTTGCACCATTGCGGTGCTTCTTTACATGTGCACCCTCAACCATGTTGGTGGGTGAGCGCCTCCCAGGACTCCATCCGATCGGCGGTCACTGTCGACCCTTGGCCTGGAACAAGCTGTCACATGAATTTGCAATTAGCGTTGGTGTCAGCATGTGGTTCATCAACTGTACTGAAAGATGATCTCACCAACCCCCATGCCAGTGCCAAAGCTGGATTTGCTGGCCTAAGTGTATTAATGTGCCTTGCCATGACGCACAGGCCGTTGCTTTTGGAGCCCCATGTTGGAAGATGTCTATTTAGATCCCTTTGTGCGGGTACAGGAACATACGGTGCCCGTCCTTTGAAAAGTTGGTTTGCTTTGATGTGGCACAAGCCTTTGCACGAACTTTACCCTAGCCCCGTCTCCTCAGGCCAATGGGCTATGCAAGTCAAGGCCTGGCTGCATTAGTTCTAATTGCTTCATTCTACTCACTGTTTCATTCATCCTATATATTCATTTGGTTTGGTTGAATTAGGTCAATGAAGTTATATACCATTCGATTTCGAAAAGACGCGTCATTGATAATGAAATTTGGAGTGCTACTTTTGTGCACACCATCCACTGTGCATGATGTTTTGGTATGATGCTTGAAGCAAGCAAACTTGGATGGTTTCCAATCTTGTGGCGTGTGAAGCGCTTTCCGACGCCCAATCATGCCCACACAAGCGCATGCATCATCTCGCAAGTAAGTCACCATTTACCCATTTACCACGGTCTCAGTTTCAGGGCATCAAGCACATCAAGGGCAACCTCAAAGGATGGAGTTTGCAGCTGAGATGTTGCTGAGACTGAGACTCTCACCTGAGAAAATGTTCGACTCCGTCAGAATGGTGGGACAGTGTGAAAAGCCCTTGCGCAAATGAACCTCAGCGACTCAGTGTGACTAGCTCCACTATGGTTTGTTCAGGCGGCGGACCCGTTCCAGAGAGCCTCCTGCGCAGCCAGAGACAAAGCAAAAGAAAAATCATAGCCCTCCTAATAGCGATGCCAGGAGCCCCTAGTAGCGTCCTTGCTCCTAGTAGTAAGGCCAGGAGCCCCTAGTAGCGATGCCCTTGTTCCTACTAGCTTCTTGTTCCTATAAGCTTCTATGTATGTTGGCCCAAATCGTCCACTTTTCGGAACAGCTTCACTGGCTGCACCTTCTGAGGTGGGTCAATGGCACCGGATTGGGGGCAACCTATGGCTACGGCGGTGCTGGCGCTGGCGCTGGCGGTGCCCCGGTCAAAGCACGGGCAACCAACTTGATTTGCCGCAGCAAGATGGGAAGCCCCACACATGTCCAGACGAACAGCTGGCTACAACAGATTGTGGGTTTATGGGATCAAGCGACTCTCCATGTCCGACCAAGGTTTTGGGGCCTTCGGCCAGCCACCCATGTCCCAGCCTCTCAGGTTGGGGAAAGCACCGGATCTCTACGGGGGAACTTCCAATCTTTACACTGATTTTGTCGATGTCAATCCATAAGTACTCACATATATATAATCACATATTTATATACAGTAGTGTATACTGAATATATGTATACACTACTAAAATGAGTTGGAAGGGGCTAGCCAAGCAACTCGGCAATAGCATTCTTTGAAGCTAGAGCCCGATACAGCAATGGTGGACCTGTGCTGTTTGCTGCTACAGGTTGGGGTGAGTTCCTTGGTTGCAACTGGTGATGGGTCTTTGACAAATCTATCAGACAATTAAACAACAAGAAAAACGATCTGCCCCAAGGGTGGGTGACGGTGGGCTACCTGCCTATACAAAAACAATTTCAGCTTGAGAGAAGTTTCACCACGTGGTAGGTAGGTTGGGCATTTGTCATGCCTTCAGAGACCCTTTGCAAGTGCCGGGGTCAAAGGCAGCTTTGACAAATGCAAAAAGGGTTGCCTTCAGGAAGATGCCAATTAACAAAAGATACAGAGATGCCCCATCGCACTTTGGCAGTTCCTCCTGATGAGTCCTGAGATTTGACAGAAAGTACCTGGCAGATCTTGCTGAATGAGTTCCTTGTAAGTGATTGAATTCCAAATGCTGAATGTGTTTCAGCAGTGGGCATGACAAGTTGGCGCCATAGTGAAGGTCCAAGTTTAGTTGTTTCCACAACACGAAGAACTTCAGTATACTTCAGTTACTTCAGTATGTTTGCCACCGCCCATAGCTGCCGGCCTTGCCCCACACGAATTTGCAGCCGGGACAAGACCAGGTTGCAGAGATCAAACAAGACAGGTTTTGCAAGTTGAAAAAGGTCAAGCACACTTATGTATTGTGCTAGGGCAAAGCCTATGGATGGACGGGCACAAAAGTTGAAAAAGATAGTAAGTTCATTGTTGGTCCAAGGCATTCATTTTGCATAGAGCCATTGTGCAGCACTTTAGGATTTTGATAGTGACCTCACTGCGTGCAAATTGAACAGAGCCTTCGAGCTCCACACCTTGCCACATGTTGTGTAGACCGGTTCATTTGTAGCTTGAGAGTGCTTATTTTTCACAATCTCTTCTTTGACATGAACGTCCCTGCGTTTGGTGCTCCTGAACAAGACCGCAACACGAAGCCAACGATTCGATGGATTATTGGGTTCAATCAATCTTAGATGAAATGAAGCCTCATTGACCATTGCAGATGTGACGTCGGATGCAGAGACTGGGGGAGCTCATGTTTATCAAGAAGCCCAGCGTGTACGAACTATGAATGAGACAGCCAAATCAAACTAGCCAGTCACACCAAAGCCACTGAGCCAGACAGTTGAGAGCTGAGATTGATTGCTTACTTTGGTTCTCACCACTTGCGCTATGGATGTCGTCGCTGAGCGGAGTCACTGAGGAGAAAGTGTTGGTTTCCTTCTTGTCCTTGTGTTGACGCAATCCGCTCCTCACGTGTCACGTAGACGTGAAAAATAACACCCACGCAGCGGCCGCATAGGATCCTGGCGCATTGATCCGCCGTGCCATCAACTCAATTCTGTGGGCAGACGGCAGAGTTTTCACCACAGCCACTGAGTAAACGAGTTTGCCGGTTTCCTTCCCAGGCTGTGTTGGTGAGAGGAAGTTCTTTGAGGAGAGATATTGACCAGTACCGACTGTGAGTATGTCACCAAGGTCGCCACCAACTTAGGCTTTGCCGCACGGGATGCCGAGAACTTCTCGTTTTCTTTGCAGAAGTACCTTGGAGAAGAAGTCCGGAATACTGAAAAAAGAGGCCCCAGGTCATTCTGATAGTGTGAGCCAAGAGCTTTTTGAAAGCAGCGGTAGTAGCGATGCCCTTGTTACTAGTAGCTTTGTAGAGTTCCCACATGCCTTAGCATGGTGAAGCGACTAAGGTACTCAACTTGTGAGTCACTGGCTCGCATCACTGATGATGAGGCATTCGAGCTATCACTGCACGGTTGCAAAGCTGACGTTCTTTGGTGGGCTTATATGGGTTCAGGCAGGCGTGTTGTTCCTTAGCGACTGAGGCCATTGGTGTTGGTTCGTGCAGTGAGACACGAGGTGCGTGGTATGCCTCAGCCTTGGGATATCTCGGACTAAAGGCAAAACAGCCACAGGGAGAAAGAGGGAGAGAGAGAGAGAGAGGAAAAAACAACAACTGGCAACAACATGCAGTACATAGTATGACATAGTCATGCTGTGGAAGTTGTGCAAGGGCAAATTGTCCTTCGGTTCTCAATTGCTTTGCAATTCCCAGAACGTTTTGGCTCAGTTTCTTTGCAATTTGCTGACCTTCTGGGCCTAGAGAGCAGTGAGAAGTTCAGCGGCACAGAATGCTGGACGACAACAAGAAGATCGGAATTGGTCTTTGTGGTGTTGGAGTGCTGTGCGTGACCTTGGGCATCTTCTTGCTCTTTGATCGTACGCTCCTTGCTTTGGGGAATGTGGCCTTCCTCTTTGGGTTGGCCCTGCTTCTTGGTCCGACCAAGGCCTTCAAGTTCTTCTTCCGAAAGGACAAGTGGAAGGGCACCACCGGATACTTCCTCGGCATTGCCATCATCATTGTGGGCTGGCCATTCTTCGGGTTCCTCACAGAAATGTATGGGATTTGGAAGCTTTTTGCGGCATTCTTGCCGAACGTCCTAGCTTCACTGAAGATGACCGTGCCCGGTGCAGCTACCGTCCTCAACATGTGGCCGCTTTCGTCGCTGTGCAACTTGATCAATGATCAACGCCGACTGCCAGTGTGAGCCACGAGCCCCAATGGGCCGCGATGAGCCGCGTGCCTTCGAATTTGCTGAGCCGCGGCCCGCCGAAATCGGCAAACCTTGGTGGACTAGGCGGGCAAAGCGTCGACCATTCCTCCTGACAGTATGGCTGGAGTTCAGAAAAAGAAGCACAGCCAAACCACACAGTTGCACTGAGAGGGGTCGGGAACATGGCACTGCACATTTGTCAGTGTGAGCTGATTATATTTGACTCTGGGTTTGGCTTTAGGCGATTTGTGGGAGCCTCGGCGTCCTTCTGCACAGACTGCTTACGAGACTGGCTTTTTCTCACGTATGTACATACTGTATATCTTATCTTTTGTTTGGGCGATGAGGAGAAGCCAGTGATGCGGTGTGTAGTGCAGCCACCTTTGCACGAGGCTGGATGCACCACCATTGGTTGAAGCACACCAATGAAAGGGAAGAGACACATTGGGACACACTTGCATCACGCAAAATTACAACTTCTGGATGGCCCTTTGCCCTTGTGCTAGGTGCCCGACGCAGAGGTTTGCAGCGATACCAGTAGCCGACCCACAGAGATTTGTCACTGTCCTCCAGGTAGGGAGAGAAGCTGGCAGCTTCTTGTTCCTAGTAGTAAGGCCAGGAGCTACTAGTAGCATCCTTGCTCCTAGTAGAAATGCCCTTTGCATCCCTTTGCTAGTTACTAGTAGCTAGCTTTTTTGGTGTCAGAATGTGTCATCTGGTTTCATGGTGTGTGTCTTGCTCACGGTTGACACTTCCGACTCTGGCTCTCCATAAAGTGCTCCTCTCTGCTTCTCGGGACTTCGGCGGATTTTGCCGCGCCAGGGTCGGAAGCCGCACACGCCATCCAGGCGCCGAGCTGGTGAGAGTACTCTTCACAACTGGTTCCCAGTATAGAAGTAGTAGATACTCAAAGCGACGGAGAAGAAACACGAAAAGGTTGAAACGACGTTTTTCCTTACTTTCTCCATCTTTCTCCATTGCAGCGACCTTTCAACCATGCTCAGGGCTCCAGCACTCCTCAGAGTCAGGTTACGATCTCCCCACGCACTGGCGCTCAGTGAAACTTCGGTTGAAACAGCCTAAAGATACGGCCAGAAATAATTAGATCATTTAGCCGTTATACAGCTGGCTCCAGTAGGATAAGTGGAATGGGGCAAGCACAGACATACTCTCAGCGCGTGCTTGCCAGTTTGTTGTGCAGCTATCGCAACACCCGCTGAGCCTGCCAATGACTTTACCCATCGCTGGCTGATTTTGATTGGGTCAGCATAAACTATATAATCGAAAACAGATGTTGCTCCGGGCTACCTGGGCGCCGACGCAGCTTGGGCATGGCTCCGTGCCTCCACCCTTCCAGGTCCATTGTGAGGGGTTCATCATTCAAGGTTTTACTTTGCTTAAACTTTCCATAACTTTCCCGAGGCAGGTGGTACATACCAGCACAGAATCACGAGTAGCTTTATTCTTTGGACATGTTCATGTATTTTCTCTCAAAGGCCTGCAGTTACTTGTAGCAAACGAACATGACTTCTGTGAGGAGCAAGCGACAAGGATGTGTTGCATGCCGCTTGCCGTTCAGAACCCTTCCCTCAGCATGTTCTCTTTGGGTTACACTTTGTGATCCTCAAGAAGCGGCTTTGAGGGCAACTGTCATGAGCCTAACTCCACCTATTCTGCTGGCGTGAAGATGGTGATGTACAGTGAGGGCAAGCAAGTCTTGCAGCTGTTACGAGGCACAAGGTGCAAAACCATGCAAAACCATTTCGTCCTGAACAGGCGTTTATTTCCCTCAACAACCACAGCAAACACTGCACAAAACTCGGGTGATATGCCATTCGTGCAGCCTGAGTTCGTGAGGCCGCGGATGGTGTAGTCAAGTGTGCTTTCATGATTTTCATGCGTGTCTGAATTAGCCGATCGACGGATCAAATGGATAACTTCTTTAAATGCCTCCAGACACACTTGGGCCGTTTTGCGCGGCAAGTGCTCCACGATCAAAGTTTGCCCATTTGAGAGTGTGCAAAATGATTCACCCATCCAAGGATTCCACGGTGATAGGGTGTCGATTGTTTGCTGAGGCCCTAGGCAGCTTGGTGTACGCAGCACGTCGAGTGTGAGTAGTAGCACCATGTAGCACCCTCAATCACCTTCACAAGCTTTTAGAAAACGCCACATGCTCCCACAAAGCCACCTCTCGTAGCAACCCCTGACAAGATGAAGCGGGGGATCCAAGCCATCAACAAATGGGCTGTCGCATCATGTTGCATTGTGTATGTTTGCTTTTGTTGTGTCATATCTCAAGGTGCAAACGACTGTTGCCCGCAGCCAAACCTTGCATGGCTAAGGTAGCCTGTGCGAAGATCACATCCAAGTCACCCAAGGCCAAGTCAGTGACTTGTCTTGAACTCCACACCCATGTTCCAATGTTCCAATCAATCAGGGACTGCGAGCGAGGATTTCAGTGTTCGCTTTTTTGCACTGCCGAGTCACCGAGCTGCAAGATGTGTTGCTTGAGGTGAGAAATGTGAAAGGCCTGAAAGGCGATACTCTGGCAAGGCCAGGTCAGCCTTTAGAGGACACTTTGGCGGGTCTACCATGGGTCTACCATGATCCCTCTATGTGCTGGCAGCATTGGAATCAGAGACACACGTCAAGTGCCATAATAGTTCAATCCATGCTCTTTATATCCGTATACATATATATATATCATTTTTATCTATATACTTATAGAACAAGACGACTGAAAGAAGTTGAAACCTGACAAGCACACCGCAGGCTGAAGTTCGTTCAGCACAGGCAGGCAATCAAGGCCAGTATTGATTTCTGTTCTCAGAGGGTGCCGCGGGTCCAACTGAGTTCAAAAACGATCCCGTGACTTGACAGTGCGGACATGCACGATCATGCAGCTGAGGCTGCACAGTCGAGCAAGAGCCAAACACGGGGCGCAAGAAGAGTAGGAGGGAGAGAGTTGCTTCCTCGGTTCCCTCCGCTTCGATTCTTGGCTCAGAGCACTCAGAGTATGGGATATTGACGGCAAACAGGGCAACTGGATTTGATAATGGGCTGCAGTCTGTTTGGCAGACAAGAAGGGAGCCGTTATTCACCCTCAAGGTGCCCACATGAAAAAGCACAAGCACAGTTCAAAGGAGTCTCAAGGGATGCAAACATCATCAAACATCACTCCAAGTGGTTCTATTGGGGCCGGTTTTGCTGCATAAGTGGGAGCAGGATCAAAGGCGTACGGATGGAAGCGTCGTCGGAAGCGCTATTTGCCCTTGTCGCCATCGAAGGGATTGTGGTGCTTTTCTCGCTCAGTGTTTGCTGCCCCTCCTGGACCAGCGTGAAACAGCGATGCCATTCGGCGAAGGCCGGGATGCTGCTTTGATTTGTCAGACATGCGGCCAAAGCAGTCCGAGAAGGGTGAGAGGATAAAAAGATCAAACGGATAGGCATGGCTGCTTGGGTCTCACATGGTTTAGGCATTGGATCTTAATTACAGACAATTCTTTTGTGCAAAGCTGTCGCAAGGCTTATTTGAAGAGCTTTGGCCGTGTGCAACCTGAAGTGGAATCTATTGTTGCACAGACTCGGGCAGAAATGGCTGTGAAAGGGCTTTGTGCTGCAATCATTGTCCTAGCTTGCATCGCAACGACGGACATCGCTACACACAACTTTGCAGAGCCCTTTCAGGTTGAGGTCCTTTTTGTGAGATTTGCCTGGCAAGCGTTGGCATTGGTAGTTCTGCTTGCATTGATTGGGCTGCACCCGGGTCAGACTGTCATGAATGCCTGCTACGGGTTGCTCACAATGTCCCTTCCATGTTTTATCATGGCGGAATTTTGTCCAGCTCCAAGGGTTCCAGTCTCGGTGGCCACTATGTGGCTCCTGCGCTGTTCTTTGTTGCCACTTTGCAACTCTGTCACTGTGGTCCTGCTTTGCAATGCTGCATGTCACGTTTGGGTGGTTCTGGCTGTGACCCGCGCTTTGGATTTGGATATTGCCATGCAGTTTGCCGACAAGAAGGGCGAAGCGGCCATCATTCTTAGGGCACTAGAAGAGCAGGGTAGGTTGGATCAGATGCGGCACTTCTTGGCCGGATATTTAGAGGCCTCTAGGATCATGGACATTGGGTTGTCTTTGTCTCTTGGCGCCCTGGCCTTCTGGATGAGATCCAGTTTGGTCATGAATGTGATGCAGTTTGTGCAGATGACTGGATTGAAGACGGAAGGTCGAGCGTGCTCATCACTCTTGGCCACCATGTGTGATGCCCACTTTTTCTTAGATGCCAATTTCTCCTTGGAGAATGATGAGCCAAGCCTTGCGGCCATGCTTTTCCACGGAACAAAAAACAAGGGCGCACCTTTCCTTCAATACATCGCCACGGAGGAAGAGCGATTGCATTTTCTCAGCACTGTCAAGCAGACAAACTCGCTGGCAAGTCTGGCCCGTGTGATGCATTTAAGTTTGAGGGATGGTGTGGGCAGCATTTTGCAGGTGGAGATGTTCCATGTGAAGGTCCCAGGAGTGTCAAGCCCACGACACCTTGTTGGCATTCGTGAGTATGGGGACACAGTACCAGAGACACGGAAACAAGGCTCTGGAGGCGCGATGATGAGGAGGCCCAGCTCACCCAGCATGCCCAGTCTCAGCGAGTCCGATGGCAGCAGCGCTTCGGATCTCGAAGCTGCAGAGGATCGCACTGAAGGGCCTTTGATTCTGTTTGATGCAAAGACTTTAGAAGTTTACAGCGCCATTGTCGGCACAGTCGTTGTTAGTTTTGGTGTGTCAGTGGTTCTTTGATGTTCGGGGCGGGCCTCGAAAGCCCTACTAGTAACACATGTTCCATGGCCATTTTTGCTGGATCGATGCTATGCTAGGTGCGTCACGGAGGATCGCAAATAAGATGGATTTTGTGATGACTGAGGAGCTGGGCCATGAGCTGCGTGTCACTCGAGCCCAAGCCTTGTCCGAAAACACGTAGACATACGTAGGCC